TTCACCACCTTTTATATCATGAGCCAAAAATTTTATACACAAGTGCCGAATCTTTAGTTTTGCTATCAAACAATCAAAATAGAACCAGATGTCTTTGTGTCGCTACAAACGGTTGCCGAACTTTTTTCGTAGCTTTAGCTTTCTTTTGTGATACGCCGACGCGTGAAAAAAATACCCAAAGCTTTTCTTAGTTCCTCTATAACTATATGGCAGTGAATGTCGGTGAGAAAACATTTTTTACTGCAGTTCCACAAAACGGCTGTTGGTTTTTTTCTTAAATCGGATAACCTGCTTCTGTTTAAATAACAATTGATGATTTCTTTTATAAATGTAAAAATATAATGGTAGATACCTACCCACGCTACCAAACCTAAATGTGGAAGCTTTGCACTTAGATTGTAAAATCGGTATATGACTACTTCGTATTTATATCTGTTCGTCTTTCTGTAATTTCCATCTAAGTTGTGCACCCTACCAGTATTTATCCAGAACACCCTATTGTTGCCTGGTAAAGAATGCCTATGGAATTAAGTCCGCCTTTGTACACCTGTGCATTAAGTATAAAATAAATTAATACCAGGTAAGGATAAGCTAGTTCCGTTGTAATTATAATTAATCTATAAAAATATTGCATAGGTACTAATACTTTATTTCAACTAAAAAGTAACAAAAACTTAAATTTTGCAAAGTAAAGCAAATTGTTACAAAAGTAACGTTCAGGCAGTTCTGGCAACTGACAACGCTGCAGCCTCCACCATACAGTAGGTACCCCTAGCACGAACCATTATCGAATTCGAATAGTTTGCGAGTGCGAAATATCAATGTCAAATTTTGTAAGGAAACTTGAACAGCACCGCCACAAAGTCCTACGTATCGTGAACTAAAAATCAGTACACATTTGACAATGACATTTCGCATTCGCAAACTATTCGAATTCGATATTGGTTCGTGCTAATCACAGAGATGTTTGTTTCTGATATCTATGGTGCTAGTAAATTATAATTAATATTTTCAACACTCACACCAATTAGCCTAGGCCCAAAGTAAGCACTTTCCGGAGGCGTTCCAGTGAAGTAGCGCACACACAGGTGCGTCGATCCTGAAACGCTCTCACATGGGCGTAGGAGGGTACCGGTGGGTTTTAGTGGGTAGGACCGGCGTTGTTCCACCGGGAGTCCCACACACGCCGCGCGTCCAGCCAGCGTGCGGTACGATCCGTAAATGGATTTCCCATCGACAAAAAAAAAGGCCCAAAGTAAGCGCTGTAAGACTTGTGTTATGGGATGGGATACTAGGGTAACGGATAGAATACATATACAGTACATATATAAGTATATTTATATAGAAATGCATATTAAACATCCATGACTGGAGAGCGAATGCTCGTATTCATCATACAAACATCTGCCCCCACCGGAGTTCGAACCCGGAACCTCTCGAGTCAGCGACACCATGAAACCCGGCGTACAAACCACTCGGCCACGGAGGTCGTCAAATGGTACTCCATTATGAAATAAAACACTTTTGAACGGGTATAAAGCGCGTTTTAGGGGATTTAATACCGTTGAGTTTTCACAATAATGTAAAAAATGTATGTAATGTAAAGTGTTTCATTATATTATTGGAGTGCGTGAAAACAATGGAGCAAAATAGAAGTAAAACCGCTACATAGCCAATAGCCACATAAGAAAAATGTTTCCGTTTCCGAAACACTAGCAAAACCTGTAAGTACTTCTGTCGAGATAATCTGCGAGTTATGGAACTCAATCCAGTGTTGGCTGATTTCTGCGTATACATTTGATTGATTCTCGTCCTAAACCCTGGATTGAGTTTGAACGCCACTACATACAGGGTTACCAGATGATAAAATCAAAAGTCCGGAGAAAAGGCTTGATTTCCATTGAAAAATCCTGAGATTTTTTACAGTTTGAAAATTTTCTCTCAAACATACTTAACAATTTAAAAAAGTCGTGGTATTATCGTTTATACTCTGCTTATACTTTTAAATCAATATAATTTGAAGAGCTTAACATGTGGGGCATTATATGAATCCATAATTAAAGAAAAACCCTTACTTAAAAATGTATTTTCACATATAAAGTATGATAAAACTGATTAAGTTAAGATTAACTTGGATAATAAAGTACTGATTTTAATTGTGCAATTATTACCAATAGAAGATTATTTTTAGTTTGTTTAACTTTTTATTAAAGAGATCTTTAAAACGTAAGCTGTATTTTATTGGAAATTTAAAAAATCCTGAGATTTCATGAGATTTGCAAAATCCAGCCGCAATCCTTAGAAGATTCCAAAAATCCTGAAATCTCAGGACAAATCCTGAGATATGGTAACCCTAACCCTACATACCAAGATTGGTCAGGGAAGCGATTGAAATAACAAAACATAAAAATTTCAATCGTGAGGACGGGTTTAAATGGCTGGAATCTTCGTATGAGTAAATACCGAAATAATAAAAAAGTGTCGTGTCGCGATACGATACTGTAAAGCCAGAAACATATTAACGTGTCGTGCGTGACGTGTCGTGTCGTGGCGCGCCAGAACCACATCGGTTCTATACACTTACTATGGTTAGAGACATATTTACGTGTCGTGTCGTGTCGACTCTCTTATCTCTCACTAACTCATAACAAATGTATGAATCAGTCGAGATCAGCATGAAATCAGTTTCGAGTGAATAGTGAAAATGTGAACAGTGGTACGGGTTTCGAACGAAATAAAAGACTTCGTTTGAGGCAACGATATTAAATACCCTACATACACCAACACGAACAAAATCGTGGCCAAAAAAGTGTCCAAAAGGTACATTGGACGATCCACGGAGCTCCGTAAGATGATCGCGTGGTCAAAAACAATATAAGGTATTATGTAACATTGAAAGTCTCACCTTTAAAGTCTACTACATAAGGCCCTTATTTAAATGCATGCGTCAAAGACTTATAACAGTTCGAAATGCAAGCTCGTAAAATTTTACGACGTATTGCTATATGCGGAAGAATATAGATGCTTTTAACTTAACGCGAATTTCTGAATGCGCTGTTAGCAATATAACAAGTTCGGACCGCGAGGAAAAGAGACGAATATACGGCGACGTATAACCGACCATGCATTTGAATATCACAAATATTTAATATTAAATCAGTTTATAGTAAGTATTACAACAAAATTTGCTTCAAATGCGTTAAATTAACACACAATTGATTAGATACCTGTCGAAAAAACTACACATTACATACTATAAGTATTTTTTTCGCATTTTTTCACGGAGCTCTGCAGCATCTTCACTTTTCAGCGGTCCGCGTCCGCGTGTGACTGTGAACCAAAAAATGCTTGAGTGCAGTTCAAGCACTTTTTGATTTGGACACATTTTGAGCGCACGTTGTGTATCTAGGGTATTCAATATCGTTGGTTTGAGGGTACAATATATGTCAATAACAGCCTACAGTTACTCCGTGATCATGGCGCTTGCAACAGTGCCGAAATATCGGAAACGCGCTATAAACAAGGTAGATGGTAAATAACTTATATTACTATAATGGTATTATATAAATTAGATTTTCTTATTTTAATATTTTGAAATTCATTAAAAATTAAATTATTACAGAACGAAAATCTTAGTTTCATTTTTTTATTAATTTGGTGCAGTGTCCTGTGGATTTCGATAGTGGATAATACTATATAACCTTAGATTAAAACAAAAAAGGCAGATACGGCACTCGCGGCTCAAAAATGATCCGCATAAATTGTAATGCAAGACCACAATTTTCGAAAACAGAAATATATTTCTTATTACGGAGCCGGTTTCAAAAATTTAATTAAAATTTGTCTCTAGAAACTGGTTTTGAAAAATGTTTTAAAAACGTCCGAAGCAGTGTCATCAAATTTTTTTTTAATATTATTTATTATAATATATTTGTTTCCTTTTTGTATACATTTTTTTTATATTCAACATTCAATTATTTCAGTGATGAACTATGTACGCCATCTAGAGTTATTTTGATAAACTATAATACATCGACATGATCCCGCTAGATGTCACTAAACACACATTGGTACAGTGCGACCATGTGCGATCAAGATCTTGGATCCACTTTTTGTGCTTGTCTTTAAAGTCCATCCATAGATTCCATAGCTTATTTGTATGCTTATTTGTGATTGTGATCAATTCAAGGATATTGCAGGTTAGAAATAAAACTGATTATTTGGCATAACAAACATCTGCGAAAGTGCGCAACTAGTAATGAATTAAAATAAACGTCAGTTTATATTTTGATTTTAAGCATTTAACTGGTAACTTAGGTTTACCAAAAAAGTATGACAAAGGCTGTATGGGCAATGTTTCCTTTACCTTTCCTGAAAAAAAGAGAACTACAACAAAAAGTATGTAAGCCTCAATGTGAATGTCACTTATTCAAATTAGGGATGTACGCATTTTAGTGGAAAATATCGATATTCCACAACATGACAATATCGGAAAAATCTATGTATTAAATGTCGTCTAAAAGTGTTGTGTTATATATGTATGTAGTTCGATTTTATTGCTGTTTTTAATGGTGCCTCGTCACATAGTAAATCAGTATTTTTGTATTTAAGTTCAAATTTTCAAAAATTAGCTACCGATAAGCAAAAAATGGCAACACGTCCACCATACATGACCCCAAATACTTAATAACCTGCAAAGTGCAGTGCTATAAATCCCTAAAAGTATTATAATGTATCCTTTCGAGTGTGGTGATGGATCAATAGAAGAATAGAAAAATACAAAATAAATAAAATTTAAAATAAATATCACACAAAAATCAATGCTTCTTTAATGTAACACGTGTTTGTTAAGATTCCAATTTGTCAAATAGGGAAATAAATTCATTGATTTGTCATCGAAACAAACCCCTCCTTCTTATTATTTGTCAATCATCACAAATAGCCAAATACGAACAAGCTGTTTGATGTCAGCACTTTATATGCTTATAGTGTGCAGTAGGTACATACGATAAAAATATTTTTAAAAAATCGAAGCATTGTGCATCCCTAATCCGAATCAACCAATCGATTATTTGTTTGAAAATGAAACTGTCAAACTAAATGTATCTTTTCATGATCTTTTCAGAGTTAATTTTTAAATTTGTATCAACTGATAAATGTATCAAAATTGGATTTTACCCCAAGATAAAATGCAAAGCACAATCAAAGAGCTATTGGATGCTTTAGGGTAATCTGTACTCTTAGTATTCTTCACAGGTTGGTTGTATGTTAAATATTTTAACTAGTTCTAATACGATACTAATTCAATTTACAGATGCAATTTAGAAGCAGACACTGTATTAGACTACATTCAGAATGATCCCAATTATGGCAACTGTAATTTGTCTACCAAACAAGTGAATGAATACGCCCAAAGATTGGCGCTAAAAGCATCGAATGCGAAATCTTTTTTAAAAAAGTATGACGATTTGAAGAACCGCAAGTGAGTTTAATATATATTTTTTAGAGAATTATTGAATGCATGTTTAGGTGCTTATATTATATCTATACAATTTAAATTGAAGAAACTTAATTACAATAGAAACAAACCTGTAAACCACCACTAAAAAAAAAAACTAATTTTTTCTCAAACATCAGGCTCTGCCTTACCGAAAGTAACTACAATAGCAGGAAATTGACTTTAATAACATGTAATAAATGTTTATTTGTTCCAGCACTGAAAATCTGTCAGATATCATAACTTTATTTTACAAATTGGTATGTGATGAGAAGAAATCAAAAATCAGTAAACCAAAAGTGGCTCCTAAACCTATATTTGGTGATAATAAACATCAGATTACAAAGGATGATTTGCCACAGGTAATAAATAGCTTTTGTTATATTTATGGATTAGAAAATATTAGATCTATATAATAAATATAATATCCAACAATAATGACATATATTGTTTTAAACTTTCATGGTCACTAACATTACAGCTATTAACGGGATTGTTACCATGTACCTTGTTTTTTATGAGTCTCCGGTATTTCGGCGCTGTTGCAAGTGCTATGATCACGGAGTAACTCAGTTACCGTTAATAGCTATAATAATGACATATGTATATATTGATATCATGAACACAACACACCACTTGTGTTATTAATTTGTTCAGCAATGTTATGTCAAAACAGTTAATTGATGGAGTACTTAGCATTATCTAGGGAAGAGAGTGCTATAATGTTATCACCTGAAACGGTAGGACAACTCCTCTTCAAAGCGAGTTTGAAGAGGGGTTGACTGGTGATCTTGTCTTTTGGTTGCATTGAAAGAACGCTGCTGGTGTTCTCTTTCACTTGGGTTGGCATTTTGGTATTTTGATATTACCAATTTGCCTGTAGCCAGGGCTCTACAATTTAAAAAGTAGATTTTTTATAACATCTCTAAGTGACATTTACGGTAAAGCTAACCACAATGCAAAATGACGGGTAAAGGTCATGTACCTTAAAAATGATGACACTTATCTGTTTACTGCATGTGCCACTGCAACAGGCTCCCTGGCGACTGAATAGGCTAGTTGACTCATGTCGAATTGTATTAAATAAACATTTATTTATTAAAGTATTTGGTCTAAGGAACCTAAATATATCGATTTCACTGCATAAAAGCAGAAGATTGCTGTAGAAACTAATTTTTAAAAAAAAATTTAGTCTACTTTTTAAACACTAAAAACGCTGTTCGCCACATCCACCATGATTGTGACGTCTTTTTTAGTAAACAACTAAATGTCATTCATACATAACTTTAAAACTTGTATTATTAAAACTGATAATAAATGTAGAGACTTAAAATATTATTCAATGAGTACTTACATCAAAGTGATCTTCGCAAAAATAAATTTTACTATGAGTCGATAAAGTTGCAGGATCGCTTTTAGCAAGTTCTAACCTGGTATTGCGCAGGTTAATTTCTTTCGGTACTTTATTCCACAACTTTCCTGGAGTCTTCAAGGATGTGTTTTTACATTCTCATACAATACAATAATGATAATTACTATATTTTCGTGGTATCTATTGAAATCATGTTTTTTTTTATTATAAACACAGATAGGTTATTTTCTACGTATTTACGAGTTTTTGTTTACTACTGTCAACGTCATAGCATAGATAATCTATAGACTAAAATGGCCGACAGCGTTTTTGTATGTCCATGAAAAGTCTATTTTAAAATTAAAGATTTGTAGCTTTCTAGGTCTCAAAAAAATACAATACATTTTTTTTCGGTCTAATAGAACATTTATTAACCATTTAAAACCTTTTCCAAAAAGGGTCAACTAGCCTATTGGCAAGCCAAGACAACACGTTCGGAAACAACGTTAAAAAGATACAGCAAATTATTTTTGTATTACCTGTCAAATGAATGGAGGTCAACTATCTAGGGTTATACTTTAATACACTTATATCAGGCTCCTCAGTATCGAAAATATAAAGTTTTGTTATTCACAAAACATCCAGTTCTCTCCAATTTCTTTGAAATAGATTAGAGAGAAATTTTATACACACAATCCAATGAAGAAAAATTCGTAAACACAGCTAATAATACATAATAATAATATAGAAAAAAATATGACTGGAATGAAATGTTTGTATTGTGTAGAATTCTTTATTAAAACTTTACTTTGAATATGATTGATTGTAGACAAACATCATTTCACTTCAAGTTTTAGATTACGAAAAAAAAATGGCTTCCCCAAGTTCAAGGACCCTTTACTTTGACAAAATTCATCAAAATAGGCCCAGCAGCTTATGTTTAAAACATAACAGAGTTTTTCTTGGGTAATGTTTCTTCCTACTATATTAATATATTATCTTTTGTCTTTCAAGATAAAGGATAAATTACTAAAAGCTGTAGACGAGAGTAAAAAACTAGTGATGAAGTCCTTTGAAGAGAAAGAAGCCAGACTCCGACCCAATTGGTACAGCAGTTTAGATCTTCCTACTTGGCAAAAAGATCATCCAGCTATGTCTTGGGATTTTCCAAAAGAACCTGTGCCAATAATTTCTTCTTTAGGTGAGTATTAAATAAATAAATCAGGTTTATTATATTTTGAACAGACTTCAAAAAATGTTATGGATGTTCTCAGTTTGACTGTACCTGTATGTACAAACATATCGAGCCGTTACCGCCAAATTATCGTAAGCGACACTCGCCAAATTATCGTAAGCGACACTTTTGTCGAAATGCGTTTTTTGTGGAAACTAATATTTTAAACCGTAACGGACCTATCTCTGTTGATATTTCCCTCTATTCTTCCCTCTATTATATTATAACGGTGTTCTTTTGGAGGGAAATATCAACAGAGATGGGTCCGTTACGGTTTAAAATATTAGTTTCCACAAAAAACGCATTTCGACAAAAGTGTCGCTTACGATAATTTGACGGTAACGGCTCGATATATACAATGTCTATGTTTGTCAGTAATATCTCAAAAACTACTGATCTGATTTAGATGGGGTTTTCAGTATATAAATGTGTATTTATTTGGAAAGGTTTTAGTATATAATATACTAGCTGTATCCTAAATCATAGGACACAGCAAGCACGGGTGCGGAGATGCGTGAAGATCTCAGGGTTCCGCACTTAACACCGTAGAGGGTATTTACAGGGTTTTTTAGCGGATAGTATGCCGTAAGCGCTCGTAAGCCGCGCGGACTGCTTAACGACTTCTCCATGGCAACCGTGAGCCCTGCGCGAGACTAGGTGTGAGGTCCATTCGTTGGTGTGTCCCTTAAGGGCGCCAACGTCTGTAAATAGAGGTATTGCCTGCGTAATAAAAAAAAGGTCACTTTAATATTATATACTAAAACCTTTCCTTTATTGGTTTCCTACGCGTGTAAAATTGTCAACCAGTAGCCTATTCCGTAATGCACTAAAATTGGAAATATAAAATATTTTTTGTTAAAATTTAGTACCAACAAAAAAACAGGTTTACCTACTGATATATTTGAAGTCAATACCAACACATGGCTGTGTTTATCAGGTGATGATAAAGGTATCGACTTCAAATATATCAGTTTGTAAATCTTATTATTTCATTTTCAGTTTTTTTGAAGATGGCCCTTATTTTAAGCATTTATTGCTTGATTTATAAATTTAAACAATATATCACTAGAAAAATATCCATACGGTTCAGGCAGGATCACAGCCGTCTTGGCTGAATACAACACTACGAAACTTCTTTAATTGATAGGTTTTGCTACAACAAATTGTCTATGATGTGTGATGCTGTATACAGCCAATATGGAGGATTTCTCCTTTTAACTGAAAAAAGTAGTTATTAGAGCAAAGGATTTATTCTTTTATTTGTTTTTCAGCTGGTGTGCCAGTATCTTCACAGGAGAGTATTATTATAAATGAGCTGCTGTATGTTTTTTCTGGGGTTCCGGGTGACTACATAGTACACCAACCTGTGAAAGACACTTTTGATCCTCGCACTTTTCTAATATCAGATGATTTAGATGACGCTTTGAAACAAATTGTTCAGCAAATGTTGCCACTTGCTTCTAATTACTCGATAGTTAGAAGATTCATTGAAAATTGCGATATGTGGTCTGGTCAAGTTTTACATGCATTAGTTGCAGCCATCGAGATCTTACTTAAAGACTATTATGTAAGTATAATAATTGTATTTGTTAGATTTAGGAAAGGCTTGATTTTATAGAATTGTCAAACCTAATGAAATTATCAAAACAAACAAGTAAGCATAAATAGCTTGAATGTTTTTGTAATTTCAATCACTCTTTTATTTTGTATGTTTTGATTTGCAGACTATGATTGCACAATTGGAAACAGAACATATGGCGGCAAATTTGACTTTACAAAAGCTTTGGTACTTTGTGTTACCTACTAAACATACCATGCAAGTTCTTGCTGCGATTGTAACTAGTATTGGAAAGGTAAACTGTTTTTTTTAATGTTACTTAATATATTTATATATTTTGTTCATACACCAACTTTACGTCACCTTTAATGCATACTGTATAAGGTCTTAATTAAAACGCATGCGTCAAAGAGATACGACAGTTTGAAATGCAAGCTTGTAAAATTTTACGACTTATTGCTATATGCGGAAGAATATAGACCTTATTTCTTTGATTCTACGCGCAATGAGGGCTATCGCGTATGAATCCGCCGCTAGAGGCGCTAGTGTAGCGTGAGGTCTCCGAAATGTCAACTGTTATTGCTTGTTGGCTGACTACGTGGGTTTATTTCTTATTAAAATAATGTTGTGAATAATTGGTAACAATTCGGCTTAATTATGGCAAATATGAGTTATGTGGCAATGAATGTCAGTTATTAAAAATTTGAGCTTAGAAAAATGATTATGTTCCCATTTTTTCCGAATAAAACGGAACTGGGCGTCACTGTGGCATGGCTTATTATGTTTAGGATATGGTTCTTTTGTGTTAAAATACGATCTAAATGTAACCTTTGATTTCATGTGCGTATTACTAAACTTTAAAAGTTACAATTTAGGACCTCACTCAACAGTGGCGCCATCTGGTGAGACAGAAAACGGTAGCCCTCATTCTGAATGCGCTGTTAGCAAAAAAGCAGTTATGGACCTCGAGAAAGAGTCTGTTATATTACCGACCATGCATTTGAATATCTCAAATATTTTCTATTGAAACAGTTTATAGTAAATATTACAACAAAATTTGCTTGAAATTAACAAACATTGATTAAATACCTGTCGATAAAACGACACTTAACCTACTTACTATAAGTATTGTTTTTGTATTTTTTCTCGGAGCTTTTCGGTATCTTTACTTTTCAACGGTCCGCGCATGACTGTAAACCAAAAAGTGCTTGAGTGGTGCTCAAGCACTTCTCGATTGGGACACATTTTGAGCGCAAGTGGTGTATCTAGGGTATTTAATATCGTTGTTACCTACCAATAATTTGAAAAGATGGCACTGCCTTGCAGTCGGTACGATCGTCGGTAGTATCTGACGATATATATCCTTTATAGAGTGAACTGCGAGGTGGCGCTGTTTTAACTGTGCTTCACGATAAAACAAACACATTGATGGGCGATGCAAGAGCGCAGGAAATATCATTATTTCTTACCGAGCGAGCTTGCAGACCTTACCTGGATATTCTAGACCAGTGGATACATAAAGGCACTATTGTGGATCCATTTCAGGTAATTTATCCTTTTGGATTTGTTTGAAATAATAACCTTTATTTTACGATCAGTTCGTGTGCCGCTATAAGCAAATGTGTTGAGGGATTATTTATATTTTACAAACATTTGAAAGTTAAATGAAGAGTTTTTACTTGATGACTATATTATTACTTAACTAGCGGGTGCCCGCGTGTACTTAGTCCGAGTTGTTTAGTTGGTTTAGCATACAAACTTCCACCCTTCCACCCACTGAAAGTATGATTTCTGCTATCAAAACTATCTTCTATCGTTTACCGGGAAACAAACTATCTCTATACCAAATTTCATCTAAATCGGGTCAGCGGTTTAAGTGTGAAAAGGAAACTTATAGACAACGGATTTAGATGAAATTTGGTCCGCACTTATTTTATAACATGGATTTAGATACTTTTTATCCTGGAAAGAATATTAGGTTCCTGTGGAATTCTCAAAAAAACTAAAGTTAAAACGCAAACGAAGTCGCGGGCGGAAGCTAGTTTATTATAAAGAAATAGTATGGATATTCTCACTCAATATTAAAATTACATTACCTATTTGTTTCTTAGGTTTTCACGCAAATAACTCATTATATAAAACAGTCATTATTCCGACAACGCATTCCTGAAAAGGATGCGAAACGTCAATAAATAAATAAATTCAGTGCATATAACCCGTTAAAACTGTTTAATTACATTACCTTCTAGGAATTTATGATAGAAGACAATGAACTTATAAATAAAGAAGAGTTACCCGTCGACTATTCAGCGGATTACTGGGAGAAACGGTATAGTGTCCAAAGAGACAGAGTACCCAAGTTCTTAGACAAATTCACAGATATCATACTGAGGACTGGAAAATATCTGAATGTAATAAGCCAGTGTGGTAAGTATGATAGACTGAACGATGATTCTTTTTTTATTAAAAGTCATACGCAAAAGTATTTATTTTTCTGCACACGTTAAAATCCCGACACTTGCGCTTTAATAATTATTAATGCTCTTGGTTTGTATTTTCCACTCAATACCCAATTATGCCCAGGAGTCCTTTAATGGAGCGTCGATAAAAATATGTACATAAAATGACTTTGTTTCAAACTTATAGCAAAAGTTTTCTAACATTACAATGAAAGTACCAAATTTCTATGGGAAGTTTAAAGACCGAAGAATTATTTTTTATTTCAGGCAAACCAATAACGAAAACTAATACTGAAGAAATTAAATACTCTCTGAGGGAGCAAAATTATGGTGCAATCATACAAAAAGCATACGCTTATGCGAGCAAATCTCTGTTGGAGTTGCTACTCAAAGAATATGATCTGATGGGAAGACTGAAATCCGTTAAGAACTATTTCTTAATGAGTCAAGGTGATTTTATAGTGCAATTTATGGATGCGACCGAACAAGAATTATCGAAAAAAATCGATGATATAATACCCTCAAAGTTAGAGTCTCTGTTAGGGCTTTGCTTAAGGTAAAGTATAGATTTTTCTTTAAGTTTGCGTTAATAATTTAGATACCTATGCATTGAATAGTAACTCATGATTTAGTTATAATTTTTATTTTTAAGCATGTACTTGATGTTTAAATCTAAAGAAAACATGACTAGAAAAAATGCCACGCGGACCAGGCAGCAGACGGGACTCGAACCCACACCCTTCGCTAAGCGCTAAGCGAGCGAATGCACTGACTAATTATGCTACCGCGGCCCTGACGGCTGCGTCGAAATTCCTCTAGCCATTCTTAAGCTGCAAGGCAGCGCCATCTCCTCGCATTGTAGGTAACCCACAACGTCAAATGAATACTTTTACAAGTATTAAACATTTGAAAGAAGAAATTGCAATTATAGTTATAATTTTTATTTTTTTTAAGCATGTAACTGCTTGATGTTTAAATCTAAAGAAAATATAACTAGGAAAAAACCTATAATAGTTACCTATAATGCGAAGAGATGGCGCTGCCTTGCAGCTTAAGAATGGCTATAGGAATTTCGACGCGGCCATCAGGGCCTCGGTAGCATAATTGGTCAGAGCATTCGCCCGGATAGCGAAGGGTGCGGGTTCGAGTCCCGTCTGCTGCCTGGTCCGCGTGGATTTTTTTTAGTTATATTTTCTTTAAACTCATGATTTGTTTCGCTTTTCACATCTTTTTACTTAAATTGTTTGTACATATACGCCTTCCGTATTTTCACATAGGCTTTCATTTAAGACTAAGTTATTGTCAAGAATCAATACAATTCAACTGGTTAAATAATAATATACACTTTTTTTGCTTAGGCTCTCAGCGGCTAGTCACGATCCATACAATGAAGACATGAGGGTGGAGTTGTTGCCATATGATTTACAGTTTCAAATGTTCAAGATTTTATCTATCGAAACTGAAGATGAAAAAGGTATGTTTTCGCAAATGAATAGTTCATATAAGAGCTAACTTAACTTACCAGGTGCTAATAGAATATTGGCCTTACAAGGAAAGAAATTGCCATTTCAGCTATGAAATCAATTCATGGAAGAACAATTTTCACTGCAAATATCGCCAAATATTACCTATATATTATGACCCTAGCAAGTCGCAACTATGACTCGCAGATTTTACTGGTCCTTGATCAGTTCTTATTTCGACATCGTGGCCTTTTTTGTAGATCAGAATAGCCAAACCATGCCACGACGCGGGCTTTGTGTGGATTGGTGGGTACACAGTGTAGACTGCAGATGTAACCTAAGCCAATGGTCAAATGCAAATATTTTCATACACAAGATGACTGTATAAGTGCCTATAATACCTACTTGTGATCCCACCGATTATTGGTACGTTAAAACTTAAAAATTATCAAGGAATTTGAACTAGGAACTTCTTTGATTATTTTTTCATCAATCATCTTTTGTATGAAAATATTTGCATTCCTCTGTGAGGTAGAAAATGCTGAACTTAAACAATGTATTTAGGATATCTGAATGTAAGGTATACCACATTTCTGCAAATAAAGTCTATCCTATTCGAATCAAATAAGTCAGACAAGATAAGACACTTGGACATTTTGTAGTACAGCATGTAAGTTTAATTTTGTATTTGGTAAGTCTGATCTACCTAAGTCTATGGCGGCGAACACCGTAGTCGCGAACGGACACCAATTAGAAAGCTGTGTACTATTTTACGTAAATTTAAATGACGTAAAATTAAACTCTGTTCTGGGATTGGTCACGGTACTTAGAATTTTAAGTTGATAGGCTTGAAATTTTAAGTTATTTTATCAATTTACCGCGAGACGTCGTAAATTGATTAATTTACAAAAAGATCCCCGTAAGATTATACATTTCATCTTTCGTTTACATTCTTACGAAAAATGATTAATTTACTAGGAAATTGATAATCTTACGGAATGTATTATATTCCGGTGACATACAAGTATACATAAATTGATCCTAACATCGCTTGGTCACGCCATATCTTGAGAACGATTGCACCAATTTCAACCAACCTTTTCTTTAAAGTTTTCTTATACTTTTAAGAGGAATAGAGGAGAAGAGCAAATTTCTCGAAGCTAATGTTAGCACGAACAAAGTGCCGGACGGAAGCTTCTTTAGTATAAGTAGCGGTAAATTTCTTCAGCAAAACCACAGACAAATAAACTTGCGCAGTACACGTTTTTGTATGAAAAATTGCTACTGCACAAGGAAACCCCTTGTCTCTGATCGTTGCTGAAGTAGTTTGCCAGGGTGTTTATTAAAAGTGTGATATTGCAGAATACAAACAAAATAAAGACTGTCCACCGCTCACTGGCATAGAAACGTTCTCGTTCGGCATGGAAGTGAAGTGGCCAGTGTCGCTGATACTCAACCACAAAGCGATCGCCTGCTACCAGATGATATTCAGACACCTGTTCTACTGCAAACACGTCGAAAGGCTGCTTTGTAGGTTAGTATTATGTAGTATACAAGGTGTTACAAAAGTTTGAAATAAAACTTGAGGGTGTGGTTGTGTTGAGTGTATCGTACGCTGCCGCTAACGTACGCGTTATCTAAGCCATGTTTTAAAGTTGTCAAGCTAGCCAAACTCGTTTTCCCATACAAACTTTGAACCCCTATATCACCCAATAGGGTATTTGACAGTATTAAAAATAAAGTGCCAATTGTTAGCATCTGTGTTTAGAATGAATATTGGCAGGGGTTTTTACTATTTTTACAAAAAATATTCATAATTTTAGTAAAAACCCACGAAAAAGGTAATAGTTTTCTTATCTATTGTCACGTGACCCAAAACGCTTGGGATTGGCGGAGCCTAAAATGACGTCACACGCAAACACGTTTAAACTTACGGTTAAAGTGACATTACATTGTATCGTTTGACGTTTTAATAACAGTCGTGTGACGTCACACACTAGTAAGACGCCATATTGTCCAGAGAAACGTTTTCGCGGCAACTTGTAAATGGAGTTTTTGATTCAGTTATTTTTACTGAAATACACAACAGAATGATAAATATATCTTTTTACGGACTCCATAACCATTATTCAATAACGTGAGATCGTTTTCTAAAACTTGTCAAATAGCCTATTCACGGTGGAATATTCAAAAATCCTTTCTCTCTTGATGCCTACGTCATTTAAACAACCTATTTACTAAAATTAAATATCATGTCTCTACGACCAATAGTGTAGAGGTGCGTTGACGCACTATTTAAAACTTCAACATGCAATATCTTTGTTTTATGAGGGTAGTTTTGTAATTTTTCAAAACTACTCTCATAAAACACAGATAGCATTTTTATTGTATACAGAGTAGGTGTGCAAAATTTTAATCAATCCTATGTACTTTTGGAAATCTCCCATACAAACTTTGATACGAAATTTTGTAATTTTAGAGGGAAGTTGTAAAAATTTTATGTAACAGGCTTAGTGTACATCTATTAAATAATGTTAATGCAAAATGTTATAGGTCCACGGGATAAGATTTTACGAACATACGTTTTTTGCAAAGGACAATGGCGAACTCCCATACAAATTTTTGTTGTCATTTTTTTGCGTCTATTAATGAATTGCATCTTAAATTATACAGTTTAGATTCTCGATTTGATTCGTCTTATTTCTATTATTATAGGAAGTCTGGATTTATAGATATTCTACTTTGAAGTTTTGGAGGTTATGTCATACCAAGTAATACAAAAACGAATTATTAAAGTATTTTCAAGAGTATTTTTATATTAAAATAAAAATACGTGAACGGAACTATAAAAGTATACGGTTCCCGTAGATTAGTGATGAAAAAAAAATTATAATGATCAGTGGGCGTAGGTACTTACTGACCAACCGCGTCAAAATACTTAATAATACTAAACAGACCAGGGTCACGGTAATAATATCATACAGTATTCTATCTTCATACAAACGGTCGGAAAGCGAGTCATACCTACGCCACTCGAGTTCGATGTGCTCTCGGCGGGCACCCAGTCGCGAATCCGCCGCCGCGCCGCAACGACGACCGAACGGTCTGAATTGTTTTTTATGTAGTTAGCCGTCCTTAAACGTGCGTTTTGTATTGTAAATATTTGATTTAACTAAGTAGATACCTACATAATTTAGTATGGAAAAGAACAAACGACGATCAATATCGTACAACAGCACAATTGCAGTTTTTGGTTGCTTGAACTCTTCAATAACACACACCCAGAGATATCATTTTTTAAATTACCTGAAATATTGGAAAGGTGTCTTACCTTTATAGAATATTTTTATATACCTATCTACTAGTACGTTATTTGTTTCTAATATTTAGGTATTTCGGTTTTTCCATCAGGCAAAATATCTGGAATAATATATAAATAAGTGGTTAGGATGAAAAAAGAGATAATCTACCTACACTCGCGTTAAAAACAAAACTACATGAAATACTGTAGGCTGGCGGCCCTACCGCGTGCCAACGCAGCGCTCGGTCCTAGGCATTTATTTTCAAGGACAGGCCGGAGTCACAATACTGTATAGATAAAATTACTGTGCCAGGGTTATTTAGTTAAAATACAATGTCTGTGCTGTAAGAAGTACTTAACAATTTGAAAATGACCACAGCAATAACAAAGTATAAAAAAGGATTTCTAATAGTGTACTGATGGGATATTAATTAAATATAAAACACTTTTATATATTTTTTATTCCATATCTTTGATCACAATATCGTAGATAGTAGATACAATGAAATAAAATCCACAGTATGGGACGGAATCGTGTCCAAAATCCACAGCAAGAAGTCGTCCGAAATATCAGATTCGGAAGTCTTAGGCAAGCACTACTCAACAGTCGCAGGGAAGACTTCGAGAGTCCAAATGCCAAATGCAGTCCAAGTCACATAAAAACACAAATCACAAAAAAAAACACAATGCGCCGATTTAAATCGTTGCAATACGCATGCACGCGCAAGCACAAGCAACGATAATGTTAACAATGGTGTCGATTCTGGCGTGATTCTCTAAACTTAAAACTAAATTAAACATCAGTCTCTCCTTTTACATACATTGTTGTCAAATTTAAGTTTAGGTTTAGAGAATCGTGTCAGAATTGACACCTTAATCAACAACAATTCGATGACAAGCATGACAGTGACAGTTAATAGATTTTTGCGTTAGAATTGTCGCCATACCCTTTTTGTATTGTGGAGATTATTTATTATGGTTTCAGTTTATTATTGAAAAATAATGTTTCCCGATATTTTTGGTAGATAATTAAATACAGTTTAATCGTAAAGCGATGCAAAACATACGAATAACATATTTAAAGTTGATTTCATCACTAAAATCACTTAAAATAAATGGCTCAAAAGCCATGATGCCAAGCCACAATAAAAATAAAAAATAAATAGTCAATTGTGTTTCCCTTTAATAAGTTTTTAATTCCAGACTTAGACAACCCTCCTGATTTGTTTAATAAATCTTTTGAGATTATTTTATTAACATTTCTGATAATGACATCTATAGACGCTAAAGATTTACTTCAACAAATATTTCGCCATTGTCCTTTGAATTTCAAAAAATCTCATCTTATTACTTGTCCAGGCAATAATAGGAAACTACTGTCCAAATGTCATCATTGTAGGTGTGCATTGATGAGTCAGTCTGTCAGTGTCTCCATTTCTCTCTTTATATAATAGTATAGATTCACGGAAGCACAAGCTTTTATGTAATTTTTATGATATACTACGCTCCATAGCGTTGTTACTCCAGCCAATGTCAATCCACTTTCTCGTGTTTTCACTAAAGATGGTATATGAACTGAAACCTTACCAAAAGTAAAATAAAACTTGACAGATAAGTGTGTGGGGGACGAAGCGATGGGATTGTCCATAGTTAATCTACGATTTGGCTGTTTTTAGATTCTTTCTAGAGAGTTATCAAATGCAAGTGGCACTCAGTCCGTTTTCTATGTCTATGGTTTCTATCTATGCGGTTTTCTCATCCTTCTCTTTTGTAAGCGTTTGTGTAATAAAGATAGCGCTTCACCGATTCGTTAAAGTGAATGGAGTATAAAAAAGAACTATAAAGCATCTGGTAATGCCTGACAGAATCTAACAGCAAAGTTGCCGATCACTTAATATTTGCCATTAAAACTTACGCCAGGTCTTCATCTAGCGCACTAAAAGACTTATTTTGATTTTTTTACTGATTATATATTTATTTAATATACCATTAAAGAACTTTATCAATGAGTTGATTTGATGTGAGGACATCAAATCAAATGAAGAGGGAGAAATCATCAAAAAATGAGGGGGGAGGATTTGAGGAAAAGGAATAAGTCAAGAAGGTGTAACCAGCATCTCTAGTTTGATTCTTCTCTAGTGTTTATGGACGACTTTTGAACCTCCAAATGTGTTGTGTAAAAAGACGTTATATTGTACTAATTTTGTAATCGATCAAAAGTGTTACTGTTTTACTGGCAATTATTACCCATTCTTCTTATTTAAACAAGACTGACAAAGTCACTGTACTTTTTTATAAGTGGAAAAATATTACTTGATCGATAATGAATTTTATGATAACTAGTTTCAAGAATATGTAAAAAAAATCTTTCGTATTTTCCAAGATCATCTTCATTATTAGCCTATAATGTCCCCCTGCCCGTTCAAAAGCTTTACCTATAGATACATGAAATAGGGAGATTGGTTCATAACTAAATTCACGTCTGGACATCACCTTCAGGTGGGGTGGAGTCATTTGTCGGACCTATCTATAAAAAAAAACCCACCCCTTGAACCCCATGTGGATTGATGGGTGCTATCGATTGCAGATGAAACCAGGACTAACAGCTTAATGTGCCTTCTCAAACGAAGGGGCTCGAGATAAAAGATTTTTGGGCACCCAACCAATGACGGGCTATTGCAAACGTTGGTTGACTTCCACGGTCGCAAACCTAAATTAATACTGCTACCTTACTCCATCGCGCTCCATGTTTTTGAACTCCTTTGCTGAGATTTTCCGAGATATTCTATTTTTTTTTCTATCGTCACACAGGGTGTGGTTATACAACAAAGTGGTGAAGCGATTCTCCGAAGCGCGACTTTACGCAGACGCGTTTTCATTGCGCCAGCGCATGTTGAGCTGCATACAACATCTGCAATACTACATGTGCGTGGAAGTCATAGAGCCTTCGTGGTGCCAACTAATACAGAGCCTCGATAAGGTCAGTAGTTTTATCGAATACAATATATAGGATCCTTAACAAAGAGTTTCAATCATGCAATCCCAGTAAGATATAGGCCTATTAGAGCTTTGATGCCTAGATATTTCTATTATTCACATTAAAGTAACTTTTGCTAAGAAACGAAACCAAAATAAGCTTACCTTTTACTGGAGGTTCATTATTGAAACTGGCGGTTAGTCTAGAGTTGCAAAAATATATAGGTTTGTAAATTAAAGTGCTCACGAAAGTCAGAGAGGACACCCCAACTTACACAAAAGAGTTGCATAAGAGTGCTATAGCGTATATAATTACAGTTGAAAGCTGCAAGGTTTAGCTGCATAGCGTGCTGAGGAGCCCTTCTGTAGCTGCTATAGCTCTTAGGGGGGCACCTATTTCATAGATCCAGTAGAGTTGATATTTTCACTCCTTATAATAATAATAATAATAGTTTATTTGCTAGGAACATAGTTTGTTTTCAGATGGAAATAAAAGTATAGTTATGTATATCCCGCCCTTCAAGGGGCATGCAACATTCGTCATAATTATTAACATTTAATTCATTTCAGTTTGATACCAACAACAACTTATCAATTAATTACTGAATGTTTATACTTTTAATTATTAAAATCAATATTATGGAAAAAATAATACACTAGTCATATACACATAAAAAAATCATTTGTAATATATAATGTCAATGTAAATTAATAATGTCATAAACTTTAATTATAGTCAAGATACAATGGATTTGAAAAAAAAAAAACATTCAATGTTTAAAATGATTTCTCAAGTAACCAAGATTTTAATCGCTCTACTTGAACTTGGAATACGATTATAAGTTTTAATGGCCATAAGGTAGCGCTCCTCTGATGGAGTAAACTTCTACAACGAGGAACTCTCAGTTGAGTGGGATTAAGACTAACATTATTCACTGTGATCATCATTTAATTCAATTAAATGAGGGTTTTTACAAACAACCCGACTTATAAAATATAGAAGCAAGCGAAAGTCAGCACTCCTAATTTTTTAAATAAGTCTACATGTAGTCCACGTGTGTACCCCACAGATTGACCAAATACATTTTTTTTGTATAATGAGAGCTGCTTGTTCGTTTGCCGTTTTGCGAGTCTGTCTTAAAGCATATTTAACCCGTTTAGTTTATTGCATACACCATCTACACGTCTTTTCCAATTGCAATTATTATCTAAAGTTAATCCAAAAAGTCAGTCAGTTTGCACAATACTTTCACCGCAATAAGAAATATTAAGTTTTTTATCAATTACTTTATAATTACGAAATTGTACATAATTTAGTTTTTGATGTTTATTTTGAGCTTATTATATGTCAACCATATGTTAAATTTTACTTAATGTGTCATTCAGAAATTGATTCATACGTTATGTCACTTTTATTATTAGTATCAGGTATTATTATTGATATGTCATCAGCAAATTGTACGCAATTTTTTGTCGGTCACATTTGGCAGGTCATGAATAAATAATAAAAATAAAGAGTGGTCCCAGAATAGGTACTACCTTGTGGAACTCCAGAACGGTTTAAGATACTCAGATCTGTGGTGAGTTGATATGTTTCGGTTCAGGTAAGTTATTTCCACAAATTGAGTTCGATTGCATAAATATGATTTAATCCAATCATGTGCGGTTCCCCTTATTCCATATGATCTACCAGGTCAAACACCTTTGTCAAGTCTTAAAATAATACAGTAACTCTATTCTTATGATCTATATTTCCAGAGTTTGTTTTCATTAATGAGAAAGCAGCTAAAGTTGTAGACTTGTTCTTCTGGAATCCATTTTTTTCTTCTCGTATAATGTTGTATTTCTATATAAAGTCTAACAATCTACTAAACATAGTCTGTTCAAATATCTTTGAGAAAATTGAGGTAAGTATAGTTCTATAGTTATTAATATCTTTTTACTATTTTTTTTCTGTTACGGCTTTATTAGTCTTTTTTTAAATCGCGAAAAACGGGTGTTTTCTTTAAAATATAAGATTATGAGATGCGTAATAACAAGGCTTTTTTGATTGGCACACGTATTGCAATCACAAAGAATTGCAATACAGACTGCAAGTCAAACTCTGAAAAGAAAGAATTCCGGTTCAGATTACCATTTTGAAAGTATATTTCAAAAGGAAAAAATCAAATATCATAACAAAATAGAATTTCAATGTATCCATAAACGTTTATTCCTTGATTGGCATAACAATATATTAAACAAAGATACAATTCTCGCGGAATGAATTATAGCTAACCGTTTCTCCTTGTTTTGGCTGTCACTGAAAATCCCTAACCTATCGCTAATTTGTCATTTGTTTGCTGTGAGTTTTTAAGCTCCAAATGACATTTAAATGTGTTTCCTTTTATTTTTTCTACATGAGTGAAGTTGGTCAATTCATTAACACACCGTGCAGAAATAGGCAACTTAGGTCACGGAAAAGCGTGCGTAAAGTGCGGGTTTAGGTCACACTGTACTATAAAGGAATTTTATAAATTTATAAACAATTTCCATGTCCATGGACTCAAGATTATTAAGTTTGTATCTTTAATTTAATTATAATGCTATCAATATTTTATGATTTGTTAATTTCTTTAATAAATAAAGTAAATGGTTTTTTGCTTTGTTAATTTCTTTAATTAACATAGCCAATCGTTTTTTGTTTGGTAATTACTTTAAGTAATATAATTAATCTAGAAATTTATGAGAGGAGTTCTCATAAATTTCAAGATGATTTCAAGAAGATACTGTGTCATTACCTTACTACAGTTGATAAAAGATGTTGCCAATTATTTACAGAGTCATCAATTTCGCATTTTCTTAGATCTATCTTCCCATTTCTTTGATTAACTCTTCACAAAAAGTTTTTTAAAGCAAAAATAAATACAAATAATTTGTTATCGTAGGCCTGACAGGAAATGTGTGAAGTTTTAATTTGTCCATTTGCAAAAAATAAGGATAAATTATCACACAGCCTTGTCTCAAGCCTGCTCAGAATAATAAAATCTATTATTTTAATATAATAATAATTTTTATTCATGCCAAAAAAAACATATAAGGTACAAAAGTTTTTACAGCTTTTAAATTTACGAGACAAAGTACTGGGATTTATTTTTATTATATTTTTTTTACATAAGGCAGTAGTCTTAAATGAAAAAGTACAACTGACCCTAGATAGGCTATAAATATAGCCTGTGTTTAGGGATTCAGACCCTTCCAATAGGTTCCCTAGGATGACACAGTAATAAATTGTTACAGGATAGCGAAGCTGATCATTGGCATCAGATCATTTTTAGGCCTTCAATGATTTGTTATAATATGTCTTAGAAGGAGTTTAGAAATAATATTGTTTATTTCGATATACTTAGACTTGTGTACATTTATTGTTCATTTATTTTGTAAAACGGAACATTTTGCTTTTGAAATAGACATGAAGTCAATTTTTATACTTTTAATATTTGATTATTTCACGAAAGTTGTATGAGAATAATAAACACGTAATAATTAATAAAAAAAATGTTGTAAAGTTACGGGCTAGTGCGAAATATTTATACACGTTAAGGGCAGTTTCTTAGCCATGGCCCAAATGTGACCAGTTGTGACAAGGACGGGGGGAAGGGCAAAAAATCATGAAATTCGTGTGACGTAATTTATGGATGACCCCTTATAAGATAAGTATCGTAGTCTTCGTTTTTTAACACAAGAGATTTTTATGCCAGCGGTTATCCATTTCGGCGCGTAAGAGTTACTGTTCACTTTTATTTTGATATTTGGAAAACAAATGTTGTACCAGATCAGAAATGAATCATGGAAGATTTTAAATCCTATATTTATATCTTCCTCAGCATAAACTTATTCCCAAGAAAGCCCTTTATTGCATTCTATGAATTTGTCAATATTGCCAATTAAAAGTAAAAATATACGTGTGGAACCCTCCTTTTCTGCATCTTCAATACCCATTACAAATATCTTGTTATATTCTTTCCTTAGTTTGCTATAGCTGCCACTTTTCTTTAATTCCGTGACTGTTTTTATTGGTTTACCAAATACACGCGAATTATTATAATGAATGTCAAGAAATAACAAAGAGTATGTATGAGATGAGAGTAGAGTTAATATTGTTAAACTAATAGTATTTATTTCCTATCATTAGGCACTGCAGACTCCATAGTAGTGTTATTAGCTATAAAGCTTTTTTCCTCACACGCATCACGGGAACCGTAAGAAGTAAATGAGTCACAATTTCCTATCCTATGCAGAATAACGTGGCGTAGTAGTTTCATACGGGAACGTAATGCAACCAAAAGTATCAATAAATATGCAATTATAACTCCAATGCAGTCAAAGGTAGTCCAAAATGCCATGCGAATCCTTATGCGTCTCAAAATTGGCAAAACAGATAAAAATTTAACTACAGTGCAGCTATTGGTGCCATAAGTTTTAACAAAAAACGTTAGGAGTCTGTTGCGGTTATAGGCTGTAATTATAGCCGTTATCGAACTCGTGCCTAATCCCAACTCCATTATGCCACCACTATAGACCTCGGAGCTTGAGGGAAAGCTGCATTTTTCACTAGCGTGTTAGTTGGGACATTGAGCTGCATACAATATCTGAGGTCAAAGTCATAGTCAAATTGATTCCAGCTCATACAAAGCCACGATAAGGTAATTCATTTTATTAAATAGGCGGCTCCACACAGATTGTCTCGCGAGGCAGCTCGGTTAGTGTGGATGTGTCACGGCCGAGGCAAGTATCAGCTTTTTGTTTTGCTCAAAGGCGCCTCCCGTATTTTGTTTCGTGCCTCGCTCGAGCATAATAATTATGAATGAGGATCAGTGTTTGAAATGAATGTCTCTCTATAGTGTAAACACCTGGCTATGGAATGCATATGATCCTAATTTTACAAATAAAGGGCTTAGGGAAGATTTTCCTCCTATTTATAAGGATGAGGATGTGGTGCCATGATGTCTTAATTAGCCGACATCGATGGCTAGGGCGCTCGGTCGTTCGTCCGTCCACACTAAACGATCTGCCACACGTGGAAATTGCCTCGCGACGTTGCTCGCTCTGTATGGACCCGCCTATTACATCATAGAATCATTTATGCCGAAAATTCAGACGCCTAATTACTTTTTAAAGGTCATCTTGTTAAAATCATAAGCTGCGTCCTGACTGAGCGAGCAGTCTTGCGAGGCAAATCCTCGGTCGGTCGGGATGTGTGTGCCACGCCCAAGCCAAATGCACGCGCTGCCTCGCCTCCAAGCCGAACGTTGTCGTTTTTGTCGATGCTCACAAGTGTCTCTCCACGTTTGCCGCGCACACCCTGGCGGTTGTATTTTACCTCGTTTTTTCGACGAGCGACTGAACCGCGTGATCTGTTTTCGTATATCTTTTTCATCCAAAAACGTTTATATTAGCGATTTCTGTTTTGTGAAAGTCAAAAAATAAATACAAAGGCAGCGGTGGCACTAGCTCTCCCAACGAACGGCCTTATGGCGGTCTGAAGCAAAACTGTTTACAACCTGCATTAGGCACGTGCGTTTGTTTGCCTGCGGAGTGGGGCATTTGCTGCGCCTTATGTAAAAAATAATACACCTCAGTTAGTACTTTACTGTACTAATTTGGTGCAAATATGCATTGGGCTAAAAATTAATCCAAAAGTCGCAAAAACAATTTGTCAGTTTGTCATCCGTTTCCCTATAGAACTTTAACAACCTAACTGGTTGTTGGTAGACTTACTATTTGGATAGAACATTGGTCAGGTGGTGTGTTCTTTTTGTCTTTTGCCCCTAATATGATAACCAAGTCATAATTGTCCGCTTATTAGATAATTGGTTTGCCTATTTTTTGCTTATTATAAATTGATTTAGTACCCAAGAATATAAAATTTCGTAGTATCTATTACATAATACACACATCGAAAGTGTCTAGGGATCAACATATATTTTTGCAATAACTTTTCTCCTGATTGATATTAATTAAAATTTTCTTTAAGGATTCATCAAATAAAGTGTTTTCGTTTGTCACAGTAACGATAAACCAAGTCACCTTTGCATTAATAAAGAAATTTGCCATTTTCCTAATAAAGGGATTTTTGACATTTGAACCACTAACACAAAAGTTCGAAAAAAAGACTGAAATAACAGTTTTCTCTAAAATTTTATTGGGTAACTTAAACAATTAATAATCCGTATTTCTACCGCGAACACTAACAACACAAGAACATCGGTTTGGCATACTCAAAATGAATTCATCCAAATCACGCTGTGGAATGGCCGCCCATGTTCGTTGCAACAACAAAAAAAGGTCTTCGTGCGACTGGATACCCTCCATATTCGGCAGAGCTCTTCTCTGTAGCATATACCATGCATGCTCAATCGGGTTCAAGTCTGGCGACTGAGCAGGCCAGGGCAGGACATTGATGTTAGCTGCGGCGAGAGTCTGTCTTACAACTCTTGCGGTGTGCGGTCGTGCATTATCATGCATTAACTGAAATAAGGGACCGATTTGCACTTGTAGAGGAACGATGACGTCTGATACAATCGTCTCAGCATAAATTTGAGCGTTGAGGTTGCCTCTGATCCAAATCAACTCAGTTCTTCCGCCGATCCAAATACCCGCCCATACCATGATGGTTCCACCACTATAAGGATGGACTTCCTGGCAGGATTTTAATCGCTGTTGGCGTCCAGGGGTTCTCCAGTGTCGTATACGTCTTGTATCCGGTCTCATACCAAAACGAGACTCATCAGAAAAGCACACGAAACGCCATTGTTCTTCTGCCCAATTTCTGTGTTCAAGAGCCCATTGATATCGAATCCTACGATTGTGCATTGCTATAGGTGGTACCCGTAGCGGTCTTCGGGAATGAAGGTTCACTTCATGCAAGCGGTTTCTGACTGTTTGGTCGCTAATTAAGTTCCCTGAAGAGTGATGAAGCCTCACGGCTAACATCATGGCGGTTATTGTTGGAGCTCTTCGAGTTAAGATTTGAATGTATCGGTCTTGTCTCCGTGTGGTGCAGCGATACCGTCCTCCATGGCGCTCAGCCACGGTACCAGTGCTTCGGTATCGTGTCCAAAGTCGACTGATAACACTCTGACTTGTATTCAGAGCTAAAGCCACAGTACGTTGCCGGGAACCAGCTTCTATCATTCCCACGGCTCTGAGCATTTCTTCCCTGCTTAAATGACGTCGCCGCTCCATAATAACGTTGGTTTTAATCAGTAGTAGGGAAACAGTAGCACTAATAATGTCTTCAATGCGTTGTATGTTTTTATAGGGAAAATATTGACAGCTGATTTTCATCTTTTACTCGAATTTGATTCACAGTTCCTGATTCAAATTATGAAATGCACCAAAAAGGATCCATATAAATTTATAAAATCATAAATTTATTACAAAGCCACATCTCAATCTCAAGAAATCCGCATAAAAATGCTTGATCCCTAGACACTTTTGATGTGTGTAGTTTACGAGTCATTCATGATACCGTCCACCCAGGTTTTAGCCAATTTAGAAAAAAAACCTACTGTTGCCTAATAATATAAAATGGATTATAGAATTCAATTATATAATTATAAATTAATTTATGGTCGATTAACTACCAATTTGTAGTAATTTGTTTTGTAAGAATAAAATTCTCATTATCTTATATACCCTTGGAAGGAAAAAGACATGAAATGTTAATATTAAAAAATCGGTGTGGTTACGTTTTACAGCTGTTTATTTAGGAAGATTAAAAACTTAAAACATTAGTATACAATATAAAATAACAAGTAATAACTCATGAATCGCGATTACTAAATAAAATTTATACAAATAAAAGCTCTTGTTATATAAATGCAACAAAGTTTATAGTAAATGAAAATATAAATATAGATAATTGTGTGAATACGTCTTAAAAGCCAATGGAATCTTAATATTAAATTTAATTAATAACTTAAAATGCTACAGGCAATACTAGTATTTATGATTCGATTCTATGGCTTGCAGTACCTTCTTCAGTGTATTTTCCAGATTCGAAAACTTCTCCTCATACACTAACAACTTGTCCTTAATCTCATCAAATTCTGATACATGCGTCTTTTTACTGATGATAATTTTAGCATTCTTCACTATTTTTCTGTCCAATCTGTAGTTCTGGCAGCGTTCAAAACAACATCCGCCACCTTCTATGTCTTCATAATCATCTCCAAATTTACCCAATGGTTCAGGATGAGGTATATCAATTTGGTTATCGCGATTGGGCTTAACAATAATTCTGTACTTCGGCAAAAAGTGAGGAAATAATGCTACTCGTTTCGCTAGTGGCTTGATACACAACATTTTTGGCTTAATAATTTGTAAGTTTTGCAAGTATGACGGCCATAACCAACAATTAGTTGACCTAACATATTCACGGGCATTTCCGATGAGTATACTTTCGAAATATGATATTAGTTTTATCCGAGATATATGCCCGACCAGTTCAGCATTAGCTCTGATCTCTTGCGTGTCACTAACTGCTAAGCCATTCAGTAAATTAAAAAGCACTATAGGAATCATGAATACAAAGACAATGAATATAATATGACTGGTTACTGGGAAAGTGCTGAATTTAATAGATCCGGCATCAAATTCACCTGTTAACATAACAATCGTTTTGAAAAGAGATCTGCCTGGATCTTCGAAGAAGTCCTCCTCTTCGTCTTCTTCCTTATCTGTGGTGTTTGGATTTGGTGGCACTTGTTCTTCTTCAATAACTTGTCTAAATAAAGTATAGAAGCTCAGTGCAAATGCGATTATCAAAATGCAGTACCATAGCATAAACTTGAAGAAGTTCCATGAAACTGTTTTTAACATGACAATGTATGTTGATAGAGTTGGGAATTGACCAATGAGGAGGACTAATTCTGCCGATGATAATAAAATCGCTATTGCAGATAATTGTTGCTTAGTAGATTCTTGGGCTGAATCATAACATAGTATCCAGGCTGTTACAATAATAAGCGCTATTTCCATCCAGTTTTCTATACTCTGTAGATATCTTGTTGGTGAGACGAGTAATTGGAATGTTTCTCTCAATATCAAAAGTATTAAACCAATAATGGCACCTACACGAGTTACGACGTTTAATGCTGCAATCGCATCTGGTGGTTTCTTATCGACGCCATATCCAAGTATAATATAAAGTATTAAACAAAGCCATAAAAGCGAATAAAAAGTAATGTTAGCGTAAAAAAGGCAACTTATCCTCTGCCATTTCAAATATAAAAAGCTTGTAATAACTGGATGTTTCAATAATTGACGCAGTTCTTCGTTTCGTGTCATATATAGGAGGGCATCAGTTTCAGGTGCTAATATCGCATCATATTCTTTTACGTTATTGTTAGCGTTATCCATAAGAGGCACTTTGCTTAGTTCGTTTTCGAGTGAATTATTTGGGTAAACTAAGAAGCTGTATTTAAAATGTATTTCGTAATCGTCGTCACTTGGTCGTTCGCCATTTGTTGTAATACATTCATCCAAATATGTTTCTAATGTCTTTGCATTAATGTCTGCTAGAGGCGGTTCGTTAAATTTATTTCGAAGTCCTACACATGCTCCTTTCCTTAATAACTCTAAGACTGTATCATTGTCACCGTTTCTCGCCGCGTAATGTAATGCTGTGTTATCTTTTATATCAGGGTGGTTAACGTTTATGTTGACTTTAGGATTTTCAAGCAACAATTTGAGACAACCCCTGTGATCACTCTTAGGGTTTTTATAGTAAGACCTCATACCTTTTATCGTTATTTGTACCAAGGATTCTCCGTTGACAGAGTCAAATAAAATTGATTCGTGTTCAACATATTTCTTTAAAATTTTAAGGAATCCATTTTGGCATGCAATTGCTATTGGTCTATAGTTATTTCCTGAAAATGTAGCATTTGGATCAGCGCCATTCGCAAGCAGGTTAGCAACTACTTTTTCGAGCCCCTTTTCCGTAGCAACTTGTAGCATTGTATTTATACCATTATTAGCTGTTAGCGCAGATCGATGTTCATTCTTTTTAACAAGCTTAGTAAAATCACGGATAAAGTTATCTTCTTCATGTCGGCTTAGATATGAAAATAATTTATCGTTGTCAATTGCGTCGATAACTTCAACAGCCGAATCGAATCTTGGTAAAAGATGAGGAAAAGCTTCTTTCAAAAAATTACGAGCTGTTTTTCCTCTTCTGTCTTTATATGTATCCAGGTCTACAGGGTCCTTAGAATAGTGTAAAATAAAATTTATCACTCTCTCTAAGCCTTGTTTGGAAGCTGAATAAACTGGAGTCACACCTTTTGAATCCGGAGAATTTGGATTACACCCAGTTTTTAATAGTAACTCTATCATGTCCTCATACACGGCCAACTCATTCTCGCGATCATCTTCCAAGTCTTCTATTTTTTTTATAGCCAAAAGCAACGCGGTGTTGCCTTTACTTTTAATGTTAATATCGATGCCATCAACTTCTACCAACTCTTTTAGTGCTTCCAAATTGCCACTTTCCACTGCGAAATGTATCGGCGCAGCACCATGCGTTTCGTTGAGTCTGTTAACATTCACCTCATGCTGAAGCAAAAGTTTCACGAATTGTTCCCTGCCAAGTTCAGATACTGCTAGATCAAGGCACGATTTGTAATCTGGGTATTGGTATACATATTCAAGATCGACGGCACCATAGCTGACGAGTTTCTTGAAAGTCGCGTAGTCGTTGGTGCGCAGGGCTGTTCTGAGCTGCGTTTGTGGATCTGCGCCGAAGAGCGATCCACCGCGTGACAAGCGATTGGTGTTCATCTCGTAACTGTCCCGCGTCATTACTGCTGTTCGTTACACTGGCATCTGCAAATAAAGGGAAAAAATATTAAACGTACAATTTTCTCATTAAGGTCAATTGCCTTCTGTAGTTGGTAGTATTCCAAAACCGATTGTTATATTGATTAATCAATTGATTTTAATTATAGCATAAAAGATAACCACGAACACATCTGGTCATAATTTTTTATTTAAACAATGTAAACAAACAGTGATTAACATTCCGTTTGAAGAGTATGAAAGAGAAAATATGAAACCAACATGTTGATTGAATTAAAATCGCTAAATGATCCTACAAGCATTCGTGAGAAACTAGCATGATCGGCATCTTCGGTTTTAATTCCCCTTATCTGTTAGTTAATCTATTGAATAGTATTACTGTTTTACAATCTTCGCTTTGATAGAGTATAAACCAACGCAAACAGTACCGAGTTTGCGTAATTTTAAGTATACGAAACATTTGTTTTTCTTTTAATTTACAATTCGGGGTATTTCATACAACCTAAATGAATTCAGTAAGTTCCATTAATTAATTAATTTAAGATGAAATGGATACATGTTCAGATATTATTACAATCAGAAATAGTACACGTTGCACTTATAGGATTAAGCTATATTCGTTTACAAGAAGCTTAAAACCTCAGAATAATCTTATTAGAAGAGTGATGTCATTGTATTAAATGAGCTCACACCGTACAAGTTAATATTTACTTTAACGGTGGCTATAATGAAGGGGCATAATTCCGATTTTCTCTTGCCGCCATAAAATTAATGCTACGCGCGTGCCTCACGCCCCTCTCACTAGAACAGTTGTAATTGGACCGATTTACGTTCTCTTATGTTATTCTTAATTGTACAACCAAGCTTTTTGTTACCGCTTCGCTACGAAAATGCACCATACCTTAATGGTATTAACTTTCATAATGGATTATCAAGTTTGGTTTGATAGGTCCCAATTTGTACACGACTTTATTGCAGTATAATTGATGTTTGAATTCGAATCGCGCTGTGTGCATTATTGTTTTACAATTTGCATGGTGAGCATAGCGAACATGATAAACGCACTTAATTTGGTTGTGCATTAATTAGTAACGGTATTACAGATTTTGCAAATTTGTACCATGGTAATCTAATTGAACAACAGTTAAATAATTTTAGATAACTGAAATTAATATTTTATTCTGCAGGTACTATACAGTGTTTTTAAATTAATATTTACTCAGACTTTCATTACATGAACTCTACAATCCACCGATAAATATATTTATCGCAGCGATACAAAAAGCCTTTGCCTCTTTCGGTGTTAAAATATCAGTAAATTCCATGTAAATTATGACTTAGCTCAGACGTTTCGGTCTTCTTCTCTCTTGAAGAAGAACCAACATCTTCACGCCACATAACGTGGTGATTCCGTAGCCACGTAGTGAATATCCGTAGCCACGTCACAATATCACAAACGTTTAATAAAAAATAATAATGAATCAAATTATTTATTGACCAACATAACTATGATTAATTATTTCCTTAGAAGTTATTGTCCGGTAAGAAATAGTATTCGAAATGAGTGTTTTTGAATGTCGAGGGAGAGAGATACTATAATTATTTATTATTATGAATGACTATACACAGACAGTGACTCTTAGTCCGCATAATACTACATCATCCGTCTAATAAACATGAATATCTAGAATGATACGGTAATTATATTAGATCTTTACCAATGACATTACCGTTTTTCATGAAATAAGTTAAAGCCTTCTTTTTCTATATTTTTATATATTTTTTTAACGAAGTAATTACCCATGTACAATGCAATTTTGCCAACGTAGTGTGGTAGCTTATTGATGCTTTTTTTAAAAAAGGCTGCTGGACAGTAGGCAACAAATTCTTCAACGGCAGTAGAAGTCTATAGGAGCTGGTGAGAACGCTGAATGACGGAACACATCCAATCCCAGCTCTTGTAAATTGGAGACCGTCTGCTCTGCAGTATGAGGTTGCGCGTTGTATTGCAGGAGCAGCGGAGCCCAACATTTGACCAAAGCTGGTTGGAGATGTGCGTGCTTCTCCATCATTGTGTTCAGTTCTTTACAATACACATCTGCAGTAATGCTCATCCCGTTTGGTAAGAAGGTGTGATGAATGACACTGGCGCTATACCACCAAACAGTGATTATCACTTTTTAAGGGGTCAGTTTTCGTTTAGGGCATTGTTTCGGTGCTGAACCAGGATCTTACCAAGTTGCTGAGCGCTTGAAATTGTCAAACGGAATCTATTTTTCGTCGCAAGTAAAAATGCGATTCAATATACTCTCGTTTGATCTTGATCGATATACAGGCAAACCCTGTGGAGCAGTGCAAGGCTCGACTCGACACGTACTTCGCACTGGCGATCATTCAATTCGTGGACACCCAGTTGTCAAGCTTTTTTACCTTGTCAATTTAACGCAAATGAACCAATATTGTTTTGATGCTAACATTGCATCGAAAGCTGCTGCGAAATTCAGCTGTAGATTGAGAATCATCAGCTTCCATAATTGCCTTAATTTCGCCACTGCCAACAAATGAATAATTTCGTAAAAGAACATATTTTAATAATAAAAATAATATAATATATAAATGAAAATAAATAAATAAATATAAACTTAGAATTCTTATCGTTAAAATAGTAAAGACGATATAAAGATCCATTTATGTATTCGAATTTAGAAGAAACGTTAGACAGAACTTTTTTTTGTTATTTATTTTAAACTTTATTGCAAAATTACAAAGAAAATGGCGGACGTAATGCCATATAGCATTCTCTACCAGTGGACCAGTAAGAGCGTGAGAAAAAAACTAATATGACGGGGGCGCAATAAAGACAAATTTAAAATAAACCTAGGATACAAATACTCTTAACAGAATACTTACATATTATACACATATATAACAATACATATACACACATACATATAAACAATACATTCATAAGTATATGATTATGTCAGTCAAATAAGAGAACGCTGTTTAATGCTATTGAGATAGTGCTCACAAACCAATCCCCTAAATGCAAGTTTGTTAGGAGCTTTACGTATATAGGGGGGCAAGTCATTCCAGAGTCGTACAGCCGTGACAATGAAAGAGTTGGAGACGAAGCCAGAAGAATGGACGGGAGTATGCAGAAGGAGAACGTTGAACGTTGCTGTATAGGACGTTATTTCGTTTATTTATTTGTACTGTATTTCATACCAAATTTCACCCAAATCATTTTGAGCATATTGATGTGTAGTGTTATTGAATAAGTATGATTAAATAATAAATGTTTTAAATAATCTACTTAAAATACATTACAAATAGCTTATACAATTTTTATTTTGTTTATTAGTAACGCTCGCGCTTCATGCGGCTCTAAAGAAGATTATTTGTCTTCGAATGTCATTTTAATAATCTCCGTTACTAAGCTTCGCCTTGAATGTTCGTGGTTTTGAACATTAACAATACAAATCGCCTACTCGATGCGTATATTTTGGAGCTAAGTACTTGTAATATTTTGAAATCTTGTTTGAATCTGACCCCTGTGCACAGTGCTCACTCTGGTAATACATACTTATTGCTTTGTTGTTACTGTTAGCCTATGTTCAACCAAATGGCACAGTACCTTACCGCCAAAATAGAGAAAACTCAACAAAAAAAGTTCAAAGAGCCCAACAACGTTTACACCAAACAATAGCAGTGTTCGCTCATCGGAACGCGATGAGATGCTCCATATGTTTTAAACAGAAACATTATCCTGAATTGTACACCTTATGTTTACGGTTGTTAGTGCTCTCTGCTCTCTTTATTGAAATGCATTAAAATATGTTACTCATATACGCTTGTTTTTATTTTAAATTTTGAGTAGTTATCGCTCTTTCCTTGCAGTATTTTTAAAGCGTTCATTTTTAAAGTCATGTAAAGATTTTTTTAAAACAAAAGAAATGCTATTGATCTCTAAAGCGAAAGTTATTTTTACATTTATTAATTTTAAAATAACAAGTGTTGCAATTAATTAGTAGAGAGAGAGATCTGTGATCACTCGCGCAACCGTAGATAATTCATACCTATCTATCTTGTACCATTAGTCGACATTCAGTACTGTTAACGTTGATTAATTGACGTTTTACGAGATCAATACGTGAATAATGAAGCCTTTCGTGCCCAGTTGCCCGTCCAGTTCCACAATACTTGTTTAACTTTGCTATTTATCTGAAATTAAATTTGAGACGCTACGTAGAGCGGACCATATTACCTTTATCTACTGAGAACTATGATTCAACAAGTTCTGAGCTGGATTTAGAATTAGCTACAAATGAAATTTAACTTCATTTATTCTATAAAAATATCGTTTGTTTCATTTAAATCAAGCTTATTTATTATTGAAATTCTTACTTTTTGGTATTTGGTACCAACTTTGTTTTCTACTATTATTAATTGTATGTAACAAGTAAGCTTTATTCGCAAAGGATTGTGTAAGTAGATGTAAGTACGTAGGTACGAGCCTAAAAATATATAAAATGCTCTATTTTACGTTGAGAACCCTTATAAGTAAAATATATGCTTATATAATATTATATGTTTCTAGCGTTATTAACATGTTAATATAAAGTAAACAATGGTTTAGTATAAATAGAAATACACTAGGTGTAAATTTATCATACACAAAACATAATCACATTATCGTTGTTGAATGTAAACCGTGATATAACGGTGTGATAATAAATTTTGCTTCTTTTTTTATTTGGACAATTCACTAGAGTGTTCTGTTTGGCCGAAAGTTTATCTTCAATTCTAATCGCGATTACCTTTTAATAGCCATGACATTTACTATGCACGATAAGAAAGTTCAAGCAAGCAACTAAAGGCGTTAAAAGTACATGCGTAGCATAATTTCTTACTCGTCATTTACCTACATTAGTAAGTTTACGTACGATATATTCATACATTGTACTTAAATTTTTGTCTTTATTCATTTTTATAGATAAGTT